CCTCTTATGCAAATATATATCAGCCACTCACATGACAGCAATTCAACACATTTAGATGTGTAGACATGGTCAAAGTGACCTGCTGAAGTTCAAAGTGAGCATCAGAATGGGGAAGAAGGCAATTTAAGTGACTTTGAAGCTCCTCAGAAACTAACAATGTACTGGGATTTTCTTTAACACAAATATCTCTCAGGTTTACAGAGAATGGTGTGAGAAAGAGAAAATATCTAGCGAGTGGTAGTTTTCTTGGTGAACATACGTCACTGTTATCACAGGTGTAGGAAAAAAATGCCCAGGCGACATTGAGCTGATAGGAAGGTAAAGGCAAGTCAAATAAACACTTGTTACAACCAACAAGAACAAACTCAGTCTGCAGTTGACATGACTCATTAGAGCTGGACTACAGAAGATTGGAAAAAACGTTCCCTGGTTTGATGAGTCCAATCAAACCAATCCAGTACTAAGAAGGTCATAAGGAATCGAGTGAGGGTATGTCCATATCTTAGCTATAAGCTAAGCTAGCAAATGAGTGCACATCCATAGCTTAGGTAAACCTTCTTTGGTTAAAAATTCACATTTTGTTTGATCTATCTTGTCAACAGTTTTACAGATATGGATGACCCCTGCGGAAAATGCTTTTCTGGGGTTTTAGGGGATATTTTTCCACTTTTGTTTTTGTTTGTTCTGTTTTCTGCTAAGGTTAGCTAACAAGCTCCTAGATGTGGCCTTACTGAAGAAACAGAAAAGCATGATTGTGCAGGGTTTTCTCTCTCTAAACTTGTGACATTATAATCTCAGAATATCTCAGAATATTATTTATTTTCTCCCTAAATCCAGACTTTATTCCAAGGATTCCTTTTCTTTATAAGAATATTTCCACATTCTGTCGTAAGCAACACTTTTAGAGCTATTGGTAGCCTTTTTTCCTCTTCTTCTTTTTTCTTCTCCTTCTTTTGAGTGAGTGAATACTGTTATATTTTTGTGTACAGCATATAAATAGAAGAGTAGAAACAGTTGACATTTTGGTGGCAGACAGTGAGATCCTAACGGGAATATAACTTTCTCTGCATCTTTGTCAACAGCGAATGGTGCCAGGCACAAGAGTGACGAGCTGGAGTCATTCCCTCTACAGCTTGAATCAAGAGGGTGGTTCTGAGACACAGCATCACTCAGAGCAACGCAATTATTTCCATTCTGAGCTCTGTGTTACGACACTTTATTTAACACTGTGCAAATTAATCTAGCTATTGTTACCGATTTCCACTGCACGGCAAAAGCTAATTAGTCTGTTTGCTGTGTGTGTGATCTGCAAACCAATGCTTCTTAAAAAAAGAAGAAGAAGTTTGTTTTTAAAATTGATTGTCAGCTGCTCAATAACGCCGCCCCGAGAGGATCCTGCTGTCAGAAAATGATCAAAAGGAGTGAAAATAGTCGAAGCTGAAACTTTATTGAATGCTGTGCTGTTTGTTGAGCCATGATCTTATCTGCTAACGTCACACCAAACACACGTATGGCCTTGAACGTTCATTGGTTAACCGCTCTCTGCTCGGCCTCAAGCCCCCCGTCCAACACACGTTGAGTCAACACGAAGCTTCGTTTGAAGTCCACTCATGATAAGGCCTAGAGATCAAATGCTGAGATCAGCTGACTTGCACAGACAGGAGAATCCACTTCTGTTCACAAAGCAGTTGCAGACAGTTTGGACTAAAATCTGTGTTTTTCATAGAGTCCAGGATCGTCTACTTTTGGGCTGTGAGAGAATCTGAACAGATTCCAGGGCAGACACTGATGGAGGACTGCAGCTGCTGTTGTGTGTTGCTGATGCTTTGTTTTTGCTGTTCGTACAAGGTGTTGCTGGATACACTGACGCAGCTAAAGAAAAGTATCAAAACCATATACACCTCTTTTTTCCTTCTGCGCCCAGCAGCTTGCGCCTGTCACCCTGCCATAGTTCTTTCACCTTCATCCAGGCTCGTCGAGCACACGAACACGTGTTCAAAGTGAACGAGCGACATATACGTCTTGACGCCCTCGTGAAACTCAGCCAGAGAGAACGCAAGCATTCCCTGTGACACTTTTATCTGCTGTTCATCACCTTGATCCTGGTGACATCTCAGTGCTCTGGCGTGTAATAGCATGTCGTTCATGTGACGTCACTGGTGCCAAGAGCAAGTGCCAAGGTGCTGAACATCGACCGGATCACGCGGCAGGGGCAAACAAAAAACCCTGCTGGTTTCAAAGAGTTTTGATGATTCTGTGAAAATGTTTCTGCATGAATGAGTGAGTTTCTTTTCATCTATCATAACAGCAAAAAACAAACAAAAAAAGATACAGAAAAAAGACTGCTTTAATTTGGCATTCATGCTAAAACCACTCCAGACCTTTTTGCCCCACATGAATCTTTAAACGTTATCAATATTTTGGTGCTTTAGCACTCTGCAGAGCAGATTGTCAGTGTCACCTGAGGTCAGGGGAAGTTTTTGCATCATTTCCTTTTTTTAATATATCTTTGTGGTTTTGTTTTTGACATATTTTCTGTTTTAAATAGAACATTTATAAGACAGGATGCTATTTATCTTTTCAACAACCCATCCATGGCTCCTCTTGAGATAGTCCCGAGAGGCCTGTTCAAGAGATTTTAAAGCTGATTTCTCAGTGCAGACATTTATTGTCTGAGGAGTTGGAAGTTGGATGTTCAGACTTAAGATCCTATTCATTATTAAATGGAAGGCTGAGAGCAAGGCCTTGTATAGATGTGTTTTTCAGAAGTTTCCAGGCCAGACAAAAGTGGAGAGAAATGGAGAGATGCAAGGCCCTTACATGCTACAGTGTGCTTTTTCTGAATTGCAGGACCCCTCCCCCTGCCTTCAGTTCCCTGGAAATAAGCATGGCGGAGGACCATGGTGGTCCGCCCCAGTATCAGTTTGAGCTGCTGGCTCTACCCAATATTGCCTGAAGCCAGAGCTTTCAAAGCAAAGGCAGTTGAGAAGCTGTCCAACCATCTGCAGCCATTCCTGAGCCATATGGGCCTGAAGGGTTTGGTGGTGCTTTTACAGCTGTTAAATGTAAAATACGATAACCATTGTGCCCAAATTTTAAAAAAGTATGTTAAAGACTAGCAAAATTTAAATAAAATACTATGAAAATGGTTTCTAAACACAATCAAGGCTCCATGTCTATCTCTTTTATGCATTAACATGGGGGAAAAAGTAAGAGGTGTGGAGGAAAGAACAAAACCCCCAGCAAACAACAAAGCAGCCAGATACGTTAAAAAGACAAACACAGCTCAAAGGATGAGCTGGTGTGGAGGTGGGTTGCAAAGTGGCCTGCAGATTTCAGCAATGGTTTTGGCATCTTAAACTGGGTTTGGTATTTAAAAAAAGTACTGAGCATTTACAAAGTGAGTGTAATGGCAAGATTGTGTTTAAGAGATGAAGTTCAGCGAGTAAGTAAGTAAGTAAGTAAATTTTATTTATATAGCACCTTTCAAGATAAAATCACAAGTGCTTCACAGAAGCTAAACCTAAAAATAACAATCAACCAAAAGCAAGGATACAGGCTTTTCAGCGGAACATTGCCCAAAGCATCACACTGCCTCGCCAGCTTGCTGTCTTCCATATTGCATCATGGTGCCAGGCGTACCCAGGTAA